TATATGAGGCGTAAATGGGATTGAACCCGGATCTACAAATCGTTAGATTGTCATCGCACCGAACCACTCAACACGCGAAACTCCGAAAAATATTCTTCTATACATTTGAAACTAGTTATCTCAACACCCCTTTCCCTTCCTATGAAACTTATTACATTTATTTATTTTTGTTTTATTCAAAAGAAGTAATTTGCGTTATTTTTTATTCTTCGACAAAAACGCGATATTATAAATACAGGATTATAAATTTCATTTTCATTCAATTAAGAAATACTCATATTATTAATATTTTTAAATAATAGTTATTATCTTAAAACGTATATATATTGTTATATAATATTTATTACAACTAATTGTAAGAATAATGGTAATATTGTTTTTCTTATTGAATTTCTTTTGAATGATTCAGAGCTACACAAAATCTATAGCATTACTGATTAAATTAATTCACGTGTGAAAGAAAATGTAAACAATTGCAAGAAAGTAAATAGAACAATAATAAGTATATATTGATAAAAAAATGTTTAGAAAATAATGAAACTGCAATGGAACGCTCACAACTGCATCACTAGTGCATCACTTGCAGTTAGTGCAATATAAACTTCACAGTTGCATGTGTTCTTTTGCTTAAAGGTGAAAACTAAAGCGATTCTAATAAAAGGATCAAAAAAGCATAAAATCAATTCTTATAAAGAAGTCCACACTTATATTTGAGAACAATAATGCTCCGCATTTATGACATTTATTAAAATTTAATGAATTTAAAAACAGCGTAAATATTTATTCAAAAACTTCCATTTCAACAATGTATCGCTCGTCTTTCATTGTCAAACAGATCGCAACATCAAAATGATATTTCAATAAAACGAGATTTATAGTCCCATATTTATTTCTTGTCTTATATTTGTAGTCCTGTTTTGTTGGTTAAAAAAGAAAAATTAATTTTATTGGAACTAATCTTAAAATACAATAAACTTAATAATAGATTTTGAAAGTCTATTTAATATTCGGTACATCATATTTGCAATCTCGATTAGATTGTCAGATAAGTTGTTGTGAAATATAATCTATGAATATTATTTCTCTTCTTCAATAATCGATTTTTAATAGAAATTTATATACATATATATGCATATTAATATAAAAAAATTTTTCAGACACTTAAAAAGTGAACAATTACTTGTAATAAATCTCATTTAAAGTTCAATAGGTTTTAAAAGCATTTTATTTAAAATTGTTTTTTAAATACAATAGAAATAAATTTCAATCTTCAAGTAATAATTTTAATAATATTTTAAAAATCAAATAGTTTATGTATAATAATTGATTAGTAATATATTTTTATTTATACATATCAAATTGATTGAAATAAATTCTTATGTCAATTAATATTTAAGTTATAATATTTTCTTTTCAAAACATTCAATTAAATGAAATTACTCATTATTTCGCATAGAGTTATTTCGTAGGAATAATTTGTATCAATGAGAGCGGTTTATGGTACAATCTTGATAGATATTTATTTTGATGTACAAGCCCACGTAATGAAATGTCACGCGCGACGTAACTCAAGTCGGCAGGTAATGGCGCTTCATGTATCATCTTATTATATTGAAAAGCAAATGCATCAAGTGCTAACTCATACTAAACATAATTATATCTACAAACAATTAGTTATTAATTGGCGCGTGCGATTAATTAACTCTCACTATAAACGGTACAGTAAATACGATTATTTAACAAGTATCTCATACAATTTATTTATCCCACGTAATCAAAATGATAGCAAACAGAAATTATTGTATTATATGATATACAGATAATAATTTCTTTAATGATTGAATTCAAATGTATCCCATAACGTATTTTGAATTTTTCATTGATCTATGTACGTACATAAGAACTTATCATTTTTTATTTGAAAACGCGAAGTAACACACAAATCATTAAATCAAATTATTTAAGTAATAGAAGATGATAAATTGACTATTTATTAATAATACATCTTATTTGATTTACATATTCAAAAAATATTGCAAATTTTTTAATCGCGTTTTATTGAATTTACTGTACTACATATCGGAGTATAGCATTACAATTAATTAATATTTACATATTAATTATTCTATATATCGGTATAACATTACAATTAATTAATACTATCATAATTAAGTTTTTATTTTGGTATTTACAATTTATTTGGTATTTAATAATTGGCTTAATATTCAGAATAACATCATCATTTATTAAAACCTTTTGTTATTTGACACTTTACTTTTATTATTTTAATTTTCAAGATTCGAAGAATTATTTCGTATTTTTTTCGTGTTATTTTTAACATCATGTTTCGATGAGATCCCATCACGACAATCGCGTGCGCTTAACGTTGAGAGTGCCATGTATGTAAAGTGCCGTGTGATTATTTTAGTCCGGCAATTAGAACGTGCAATCATGTTTTTGCATTTTTAACCGGATTTTCATGATTATTGTATCACGAATGTAGCAATGAATGAATCTGAGAGGAGGAGAAAATTTATGAAACAATGAATGACAACAATAATTACAATACGAGTTAATTACTGTATTTATTTTAATGGATACTATTCTTAATGAATTTTAAAATTACAAACACACACAAATTATTATTACATATAATATTATTTAACATTAAAATATAAACAATAAATAAAAGGAACAGCTACACGCATGTTCGTAGCAAAAAGCCA